GCAGGGTTCGAAGATGAACACAACAAACCATAAAGTGAAACATGCCTAGATTGTGTATGGAGTGTTTAGTTAGCTATACAAACTGTGTGTAGTTAGCTGTATGCTTATCGTTATAATAAGGCCACTCTCTCCAAAATGCTGTAAACACTCACCCATAATAATTATGCTTGACCCTTGCTTAAAAAAGGTTTAGGCTGCACAATAGTCAACCCTGTCTGTGGCACATGCGGCAGGTTTACGGTGGGGCACTGGTTCTCTCTAACCTGGTTGCACATCACAAATAAGAATGTTAGACAGCTGCTGTTTTAAATATTGCCACATTCTACACTGCTCACAGTCCAATGCACGCTAACAAAGTCGCTACATCAAAGCAAGTTAATATTGATTGAAATTGATATGACATGCATGTCAGTGTTAAAATTCTCAAAACGTTCATGTAAATATTATACAGCATGGAAAATCAAGTGGATCGTCTTATTTTTTAAGTTTGGCAATGCCCATGCCAGCGAGGGCCACAGCTCCAGCAGCCACTACTCCTCCAACCAGTAGAGCTCCTCCCAGGACACCCAGACCCAGGAGACCATCTGCAGGGAGGCCAACAAACAACACACTGTCACAGTTATAGTACGTAGGTAGTAATGTAGTGGTAGGTGGAAATGTGTACCCAAGAGTGCAAGGTAGACTAGCTACATGTTGATGTTGCCAGAGTCTCTAGAAAGCCAAGATAAACTGGATTTACAGTACGTAGCAGGGGAGGTTAAGGTATTACGCATCAGAGGAATTATACAGTAGGGGGTGTAAAGTTGCCACAGCCCCTGCAATCCATTAGGAGTAAGCACATAATCAACGAGGTCTGAGACAAATAGGCTTAGGGCGATCACTCTGCCTCTTACGCCATTTCATATGCTTAGCTTTTATTGTTGCTACTTACTGCACTCGATACAGTCGCATTCTTTTAAGTACATGAATGGAATATTGACAAAGTTTAAAGGGCACAGTTGGTAATATAATGATATTGAAAGCATCTTCAGTACTTATGAAAACAATAAAAGTAGCAAAATGAGACTCCCTAGAGAGTAGTTTACGTAGCAACGCAGGCTATGAAGTTTATGTACACACAAGAAGTGGAGGTCGACTCACAACACCACCTATGTGTTATGCTGCCATTTTTGCCAGCATACTGCATATACCCAAGCCTATATATAAAAACCAAGGTAGCTATACGGCTGGAAAGGTAAGGAAAAGTAAAGTATGATTATGGTATATTCCTCTAGTGTAAAAGACAGAATATTGTAAACAACCAAGCCCAGTTGTCTTGCACATTCTCTGACCTGATTGATTATGTGTTTACTCACCCTTAACCTAATATATCTCTCTACATGGTGGCACAGTCTGACAGTTAGCTATTATGCATATTTGCCTGAAGAGAAGATCAACCACCAGGAGAAGGAACTGCGGTAAGCCACTATATATGAAGGCAGAGTGTAACTCCATAGATGGGCATTAGCTCTATTTGTGTCCTTTTGTTACGAATACAAACTTAATCCTGCTAAAACATTCTAACAGCTGGCACAGATTCAGACTGTACCACAGACCCAGGACCACCAGATGCTGTGACAAATGCTCCACTGTATGAGACACCCAACTACCACCATCACCTCACTCAGTCACTGATGGTGGAGACTACATGTATGAACATGTGGAACTGAGGCCTATCACTGGAGAAGATAAGGATATTGCAGTGGCTCCTAATGCTGCTTATGGCACTGTTCCTATGAACACAACAAACCATAAAGTGAAACATGCCTAGATTGTATATGGAGTGTTTAGTTAGCTATACAAACTGTATGTTTATCGTCATAATAAGTGACCACTCTATCCAAAATGCTGTAAACTCTCACCCATGTGCTTGACCGTTGCTTAAAATAGGTTTAGGCAATGCACAATATTCAACCCTGTCTGTGGCACATGCGGCAGGTTTACAGTGGGGTACTGGTTCTCTCTAACCTCATGGTTGCACATCACAAAGAAGTACAAATAAAATGTTACACTGCTACACATTCCACACTGTTCACAGTGCAATGCACACTAACCAAGTCCCTACATCAAAGCAAAAATATGGACGAATGTAAGTGTAAGTGTTAAAACGCCATATTTCACACAACGTCCATAATATAATACAGCATGGAAAATCAAAGGCATTGCTATATACAGTAGGGGGTGTAATGTTGCCACAGCCCCTGCAATGCATTAGGTTAGGGTTGAGTAAACACAATAATTACAAGTGGAAAAATCATTTCTTCAAAATGAAGGGGTGATATAGGGATGGCTTGAAGCACCAAAAAGGAAGAAACAAGGGGTCATTACACAGCAAAGATGCACAAAGCTACATGACACCATCCCTATATCTTTGTATTATTGTTCACAACCAATCTCGCCATACTGACATTTTTGTCCCTAATTGCGAAAGAGGTCATCCAGCCGCGCTTGATGTCTCAGTCATTTCCACTCTGCAACAGCTTACCTTCAAGTAAAGTTTAATATGAGACAAAGATATAGGGATGGTGTCATGTAGCTTTGTGCATCTTTGCTGTGTAATGACCCCTTGTTTCTTCCTTTTTGGTGCTTCAAACCATCCCTATATCCCCCTTTCATTTTGAAGAAATGATTTTTCCACTTGTTTCCACTATTTTTCACGCCTTATGACAACACTGCATTTTCAGTCACTCTTATGTTCATGGGTGTTGTAGAGATAACTGTTGAAAGCAGAAGCTAATGGGCTGCTCCTACCTGAAGCAGGGTGTATGCGTAGTGTCTCCAACAAGGATGCAATTAGGGTGTGGCACATATATGGTGGGGTGCTTTCATAGGCAGGCTTCAGTAATCAGACTACAATGATAGCTATAACCTGGGGGGACAAAGAATGAAGGCGCTGTGCAAGGACCGCGTATAGCTAACACGGCGCACACTGCAAAGTTGCTCCTCGTGCAAATCAACAGCAAAGCGCAAGATAGCCAGTTAAAAATGTGAATACTGACTTACAGAAGGCACTGGAGGATAAGAATTCCTCTGCAGGCTTCCTGGCTTAGTCTGGTTCACGCACGCTATAGTAATGCGCGCGCACCGCGCATTTTGGGGAAACGCCCTCCTCGGCGCGGCGCATGCGGCTCACTGATGCTGAGTTAGCAGCAAATGGCGTTGTTCAGTGACTATTGTGGAAGAGCTCAATGATCTACCGTAGTGACTTGCGGCAAGAAACAAGCCATCGCTTGATATGCGTGCACACCTCCGGAAAATTTGGAGACGTTCTGTGAAAAAATCAACGCTTCAACTGCTTCCGGTAAGGAGCTAGCGGGTCTGAAGAAGAAGAAGAAGATGAAGAATATGATGATGATGACACGAAAATCGCGAAATCGCGTAAGAGCGAATTCTCTGGTGGGGAACTGAGGGCACGTAAGAAGTCTTGGGGCATATGTATAGCTAGGTATTGGCCTCTAGACTATTGCTAGTGATTTTGAAGCCATGGTGAGTCATTCTCGCTGAGTTTTGAGGCGTTTTGTACGCGGATCACGTGAGATTTCACCCGTGTCATCCCTATATAGAGCGTCTACCGACGCTCTGATAACACAAAGATATAGGGATGGTGTCATGTAGCTTGGGGCATCTTTGCAGTGTAATGACCCCTTGTTTCTTCCTTTTTGGTGCTTCAAGCCATCCCTATATCACCCCTTCATTTTGAAGAAATGATTTTTCCACTTGTTTCCACTATTTTTCATGCCTTCTGCATTTTCAGTCACTCTGATGTTCATGGGTGTTGTAGAGATAACTGTTGAAAGCAGAAGCTAATGTACCTGAAGCAGGGTGTATGCGTAGTGTCTCCAACAACGATGCAATTAGGTTGTGGCACATATGGTGGGGTGGTTTCGTAGGCAGGCTCCAGTAATCAGACTACAATGATAGCTATAACCTGGGGGACAAACAATGAAGGCGCTGGGCAAGGCCCGCGTAACACGGCGCACACTGCCAAGTTGCTCGTACAAATCATCAGCAAAACGTAAGCTAGCCAGTTAAAAATGTGTATACTGACTTACAGAAGGCACTGGAGGATAGAACCGAGCTTGCTTGCAGCATATGAGAGGTCCAGATATAAGCTGACAACATGGTCAGTTACTTGAAACAAACTCGGTTGACTAGGAAACTGTAGGACATGTGAATTTCTATCCAAAGTTGGGTCGCTCCCGCTCGCCAACAATGTTCAACTTTTCCACTAGTATATATACGACAGCGTACGTCGTGTAAGTGTGCATGCGCGGCTTTGTACCAAAGTCAGCAGTTACATGAAACAGCAATAAATTCCTAGGGTAGCAGAGTTCATTGGGTATACACTATGGTTTGCAAACGAACTACTGTAATACTTTCATCTCTTCTTTACAGCTTCACTGTTTTGACAACTGCTTGCGTTTCTAGTTTCTCATCTTCAACAGTTTCAAGACACAAGGGTGAAACTGCTTGGAGATCTGTTTTGTAAAGAACACTGATTAACATTAAAGTCACAGAATTATAGTGTAGCTATATACCACTTTGTGTGATTGTGCTATTTCTCTTGTGTCTGGCCCTCTGGTTTGTAACCAGCAAGAAGCACGTGATCAGAGTAGTCAGTAGGAGAATAACCAGTGCTAGACTCAGTGCAACTGAAAGTCCAGTCATTACTCTGGATTTTGAAGCTGCATAATATACCAAATTATGATCAATACTAATATCAAGAAATGGTGTTGTTACCACTCTCAGTCTTGGTGTTGCCACAGATTGGTCTGATTTCAAGCTTTTCATCTTGAAGGTGCAACATAGAAGGCCCTTCAGATCCATCCTCTTGTATTTCATGCACAGACGTACCAAATACCCCTGTTTGTTGCATCGTAAAGCATTTTAAAACTGCTACATAATCATTTGTTCCCCGAGAAATGTTGAAGACCAGCAGTGTGTGTTCATCAGAGTAGAGTTTCAGAGAACACCCTATTGCAGATGAGCCACTGACAAAAACACAGGAACAACATGTTCCCCCAATTACTGGTTCAATAGCAGAGTAAAACCTGCAAAGATGAAAACAACTTACAACTTTCAAACAAATAGTCCACTAATGGTAAGATCAGGTAAAGTAAAGATACAGGTTTTGTTTAGTCCAAGTGTTCATGTCTGCACTTTTAACCAAGTTTCGGATTGTTCTGACATAGAGGAGTGGGGCTGTAGAGCCTAAGAGTGTCAATTGGATGCAACATGGTTGGTGCCACAGCTGTAATTTCTGAGATAGAATACTTAACTTACCTTAGCCAAATCAAGGTGCAGGGCTTTAAAATTGGAATTGATGCACGCATGACAAAACGAATTTGACTACAACTTGGTCTATAACCAATTTTACAGGTATTTTTCAAACCAGGTTGAGATGTAGGAGAGGGTGTCTTTGTTGGTGCAGACGAAACCGAGAATGTTCCTTCAGTGGTGGTACTCAGGAGTGTAGAGAGTGCATGAGATGTAGAGAGCTCCAAGATGGTAGAGCTAACTCTTAGTGTGACAGTATCACTGACTAAAGAAGAAGTATGGATATTGGATATTGACTGCGGTGCTTTAGTTGTTGTGACAATTGCTCGAGGGAGCAAAGTAGGCGTCAAATACTGATTGCACATGTCACCGTTATTACAGCACTCAATAGCCTGAATCTCTGAGACACGGCCACAGAATGTTGGATTCCAGGCTGTATTTGCACAGCCTTCGTCTTGCTTGATGGATCCATCTTCATGTCGTGTCCTTCTGGTAAAGCATCCACCATGGGATGTGTCAATTGTGCAGGTCCATTCCTCCCACCGACACTCACTTAATACTGATTCATCATTGCAACTACATCTCAGACATGTGACGTGTGTATATGTATGAGTGAAAAAGGGAGAAGAAGAAATGCTAAGAGTAGTCAAATAAGCCTCCCCCAAATGACTACAGGTCCACCTATGAGTCACATGTGTTCAAGGGTATGGTTTTCAATATGTTTCTTTGCAACACCACCAGCTAGTTATTTCAGAGGAGTTGATACTAATGTCCAGTATTGTCTTGCTAGGCCACCATCCCTACATTATATATACTAGCTACTTCAACAACTGTGATCAACAATATTAATAGTTGCATTAAAATTTGTAACAATTTCTTCCAACCTTGCGGCTTAGGTTTAGATGTAACAGAAGGTGTCGTGGTTACCAAAGCTGTATTCAGAAGTCCTCCTTCCACTGACTGGGGTGCTGTAAAAATTGTTTGTGAGAGAAAAATAATTATGAAAAAAGTATGATATGTGAAATGTCTTTATCTGTCGTAAAACTGCTGTTGTTTCTATAAATTTGCAGTTTAGATTGAGAGTTAGGGGAGGGTATCTTGAATGCAGCTGTACTGACGAATCCTCCTTCAATTGACTGGGTTGCTGTAAAAATTGTGTGTGGCATGAAAGTATATAAACTTTAATGCATTTTTGGGAGTGAAGCGAGCAGTTTATTTTGCGTGTTTTTCACGCGTATATATTATATAATAATAATTATAGAATCACATAGACATTACGGTATGTTGTTCAATGCACCAATACATAATATGGTAAATTCTTTGTTCGGGTGACTAGGCAGGCTCGCTTTGGTGGCCAATCATATACCTTTCTACTTGTATCTGATTATAAGAAACTTAATTCTCAGCAAAAAAATTTGAACCCTGTCTTTCTGGTTGAGAGATAGGGGGGGATGGTGCAGATGTACTGAATCCTCCTTCAATTGACTTGGATGTTGTAAAAAGAAAAAATTAAACATTCCCTACAATTTTCTTTTTGAACAGTTATGTGCGGTATGTTATTAACTTAATGTTGTTTATCTGGTGCAAGATAATGTGAGTTTCTAACCTCGTGGTTCAGGTTGAGAGGTAGGGGAGGGTGATGCAGCTGTATTGTCCAATCTTCTTTCAGTGGTTGTACTCAGGAAGGGGATGTATGAGAAGGAGACTGCCTCAAGATGCTGGAGAGTTAGCCCTGGATGTTGGAGTATATATACCACTGAGTGAGTGAGAGGGAAAGACCAGGGACACTGACTGTGGTGATTCGATTGGTGTTTGTGGGAGGAAAGTAGGGGAAAGATCATCATTGCACATGTCACTGTCGACACAGCATTCAATAGCCTACAGTCTCTGTAGTTTTACTGCAGAAGGCAGGATTCCAGGCTGTAAACACGCAGCCTAAATCTGTCCTGATGGAACTGTCATCATGCATTGATCTTCTGGTATAGCATGCACTGTGGGATGTGTCGATTGTGTAAGTCCATTCTTCCCACCGACAATCACTTAGTGGTGCTTGATCATTGCAACTGCATCTCAGTGCTGCGAAATAATTTAATGATAAAGATTTCTAACATTCGTACAGTGCAAAACATTTCAGTGGGTCGGTGAAACACACAATTTTTTTTCATGCGGAGAAATACTACAAAAATAAAACAAATAAAACAAAACAAAACAAAACAAACGAAACAACTAACAGATTAAATGATGCTGTCAATAGAAGGGGGGCCCAATGGGGAATCGATGGAGCCAAAGAGCAGCATTCCCACGCCAGAGAGAAACAGAGCAGCGCTGGAAGAGGTGATGAATTGAGTCCGCGGGAGAGACCCTTAAACGCTGGCCTAGGAGGCGACCAATTTCTGGACAACGAGGTGGTTGTGGCCTCACTCATGCCGCCCAGGGCCTCAAAAGCAAGGGGGATGAAAGAGACCCCAACAGCGCGGCAAGCGGGGGCATGAGCTGACATCTTTCGATGCTCCGCAACAGCGAGGGCATGGCCAGCAGAGGAAGCAGCCCCTTGAAGGGTGAGGGGTTGAAGGGGGGAAATGACGGTCACATACATAGCAGCTGGTTGACCCCGTTCCCAATTAGGAAGAAGGATGTCAGCAGGGCGGCTCTGTGATCCGGGGATGAGAGAAGGGACCTCCTTTCGCGGAGCCAAAGCAGCGGATCGGGCGGCATGAAAAATGGAATCACATACAGAGTTGTGCCTAAGGATTATATCACCGTTCCCCCCGCAACCGACCTGGTGGTCACCAAAGGGGTCAGCAGCTGAGTGACAAACGCCGCATTTCACCCCCTCCTAAAAAATCGGGACCCCCAACCAATATTGTAGGCAAACCCGGAACTCACGATCCATGAAGTGAAGGCCGAGGGAAGGCGAAGGAACAGCCAATCACCAGCATGGGGGAGAGAACACGATTGGGCAAGGGCCAGAGAACGGGTGTCAGGGGCGGAGGAGAGAAGAAGGTCGAAAGATTCCTGGTCAATTTCGTATGAGAGGGAGCGCTGCCGGAGGGGGACATCGATGTCCTGTAGAGAAACCCGCTCAGGATGCCCAGCTCCCCCAGCAAGAGTGGCCAGGCAGGAAGGGAGACTAGCGGGGACAGGAGGAGGGTGGCGGAGAATTTGGGCAACGAGGGGGGTGGAGAGAGCTGAGGGATCCAATGAAAGCTGCAGGAGTGTGGAGGGGGGCCTGACGGAGATTAAGGCCACCCAGAGAGAAAGGCAGCGACGCTTTCAACCAGCTCCAGTCAGAGATGGGGCCCCCACAGAGGTCTTCCAAGGAGTCCCGCATGATGTTGTCAAAGGCTGCAAGTGCAGGACGAATCAGGTTAGGGGCACAGGTGCGGAGAGTGAAGGAAATTTTGGGGAGGGAGAGGCAGGACCGCAAGAGAGCGGTTTCCATTTGGGCATCTTGGAGGTCCCTCAAATTCACTAATTCACGAATTCACGAGTTTGATAGCGATCGCACGCAGCGTATGATTTTTACGCATGCGCATTGGAGCCCCCCTCATCTTCCTACGCTACTGACGTATTGTGAGTACAATGTACAGCCGGTGTGTTTAGTTCAAATCGGGCTCAGCGAGTACCTCTGGGAGGAGGCGTGTTTCGTTGAGCGTAGACGCGTTTCTACAAATGGAGAGGGCCGGGGTGTCTCGTTCGGCGGGAGGGGCGTGGTCGATGCAGCGCATTGACATAAAACAAACTTGAAGTGGCCCAACGAGGTCAACTCGCAATAGCTGCATGCCGTAACAATGACAGTGGCAACAGCAATATTGTTCGCCTTTATATGCTCACAAACGTTTGCATCCCAGGTTCGATCGTCTGGATCATGCTTCGGCAGCGGTACCAATCGTGCATCCCAATACTGTGGAGAGGATAATTTTTACTGTCCAGTCGATGAAACATGCAAAAGTCGATCTGTTCGCTGTACGAGACACAGCAATTGTTTGAATATTCTTGGCAGTGAAGAAAATTGCTATAAAGATGACGATGACAATGGCTATACAATTCGTTTAGGTAGTTCATCTCTGTTTTCTAAGAAGAAGCAACATAAATTGGAACACCAGTTCATTGTTTACCGAGGATTCACTTATGAGTACGGATGCAACTACGGAGTTCAAATCTTGGACCTAAACGACCCGATTAACTACAAGTATGAAGGCATAAGTGTGACATACCAGACTGAAGGAACAAGCTGGTGTACATATGATGAAACAATTATTTTTACGAAAACCTGGTCAGGAATGTATGATATCAAAAACAATTGCCAACATTTTGCCCGTGACTTGACCAATTACCTTACAACGGCCAACTGTGGATCCACTTCTAGATCTACTGATCTTGAAGATTATGCCAACGATCTTGTTGAGGGCTGCACGGATTGCTGTGAGCCTGCGTCTGACGCAAGTACTACTACCACCGCAGTTTGGATGATGATGATGATCATTACACTGCCGTCTCTGCTCACCTAATTATGAGTGAGCCACGAAATGAGTAAGGACTGACAGCGCCTAGAGCTTGAACTTTAGTAGTGTATGTAGGTTAGGCCATTATAGCTCGACCACTGATGTTAGCTCGCAGAAGCGAGCCAAGATGATCGCTACGCGACAGGCGCAGAAAGGGTAGTCTGGTGCCCAGACCCTATATGCGCACACGCGTAAACGCATGCGCGAGGGAGAGAAAGGTCTGGTAAATAACTATGCCTTTCCACGGGCCAAAGCTGGAATGCTTGAAAAGGTGTTGGTATGCAGTTACTAACCGCACAGGGTCCGGATAGCTCTGCGAGTCCGTCGTGGTGTTGCCTGTAATGGAACGTCACGTTTTATAGTAATGGAGCTAGAGCAAGCGATCGACAAGGCTGTTGAAGCAGTTAGTTTGCATTCACTAAAGCCTCTACAGCGCCATGTAATGAGTTCGTTTGTGCGACTGGAAATGGCTTTTTTGTGAGTCTTCCTACCGGTTTTGCAGGGGTCTACGAGCTTTTGAGTAAAGCAGGCTTGCCCCGCAGGCTCTGCAAGTACCGTCCATCCGTCAAAAGTCTTCCCTTGTGCGCGCACGCGCGTTAGTATTATAATATAACCGCAATCACTCAAGATAAGTGGTTGCTGGCCGTGGGTTATTCACCAGACCCTTCTCTCACTCCCTCGCGCATGCGTTTACGCGTGCGCATATATTTGTGAAGGGTCTGGGCACCAGACTACGAAAGGGGAGGCTGGACGCGGCTCACTCATAATAGGTGAACAGAGGCGGCTGAGTACGGATATTAGGGATTGGGGTACGAGAACCTCGTGCCCAGCAAGGTCGGCTCTATTCTCGTTCCCAGACCTTCACGTGCGCCCGCGCGAAACTTATGTACAGTATTGCACAATACGGGGCGATAGTCACGTGTTTGCTTCTCGATCGTTGCTTAGATCCGCATGTGCACCGAGAGAGATCACTACTCTTATGTCACATGATATTTTTTTAATGTAGCAATGTCATTGGGTTACATTATTGTTTGAACAATAACAAATACACTTTTCTATTTCTTCACACCTCAAATTTGTTAAAGACACATGAGATGAAACTTGGTACACATGCTTATGACAACCCTACACCCCCACCCCCCAGAGAAACACTTGTTTGTCCATTCTTATCAGCCAATTAATATCCATACATAAAATCTCACACACATAGGCATCTTAATGTTTAATTTACAGAGTGCTAGAAGTACCACCATTATGAATCTGCTAACTACCAGACATAAAACTTGACATTCATACAAGCATGATAGCACAATTGTATGAATGTCAAGTTTTATGTTAGCAGATTGATAATGGTGGTACTTCTAGCACTATGGTGTGAGGTTTATTAAAACATACAAGCTGTATGGGTATTCATTGCCTGTTTTAAGAAGAATCGGAGAAACAATCCAATAAACACTTCAAACTTTGATAGAAAAGTTCTTTATCAAGATGACGTATATACAAAAATGATCACATTTGCCAGGAATCTATTAGGGTGCACTACTTGTAGTGGTCGGACATGCCCTTGGTTGCTTACTGTGTCACGTTGGGCTTGCGCAACACAGGCACTCTACATGGGCGTAACTATCCAAGTTCTCTCTAGCTTGTCCATAAAATACTCAAATGAATCAGAATAGTTTTTCGGTGTAAAAGTGGGTGCTCCTATGCTTTACATTATTCACCACATCTTAGTCGATAGCAAAGAAATTTTCTCAGTTTTGATAGACCAGTAGCTATGTGCCGATGCATTGACATGGGGGTGGAAGTGGGTTCTCTGATGCTAGACTGTGTAAAAGTGGGTGCTCCTACGCTATGCATTATCCACCACATCTTAGTCAATAGCAAAGGAATTTTCTCTGTTTTGATAGACCACTATGTGCCGATGCATTGACATGGAGGTGGAAGTGGGTGCTCTGATGCTAGACTGTGTAAAAGTGGGTGCTTCTACCCTTTACATTATCCACCACATCTTAGTCGATAGCAAAGGAATTTTCTCTGTTTTGATAGACCAGTAGCTATGTGCCGATGCATTGACATGGGGGTGGAAGTGGGTGCTCTGATGCTAGACTGTGTAAAAGTGGGTGCTCCTACGCTATGCATTATCCACCACATCTTAGTCAATAGCAAAGGAATTTTCTCTGTTTTGATAGACCACTATGTGCCGATGCATTGACATGGAGGTGGAAGTGGGTGCTCTGATGCTAGACTGTGTAAAAGTGGGTGTTCCTACCCTTTACATTATCCCCCGCATCTTAGTCGATAGCAAAAGAATTTTCTCTGTTTTGATAGACCAGTAGCTATGTACCGATGCATTGACATGGGGGTGGAAGTGGGTGCTCTGATGCTAGACTGTGTAAAAGTGGGTGCTCCTACGCTATACATTATCCCCCACTATGTGCCGATGCATTGACATCATAAGAAAATAAGCTAAATAGCTATCCCAGTAGGATACACTGCACTATGATCAACTGGCAGACTTTATTCACATGCAATCAAGACACCTTCACCACTGATTGATTCATTATGTAATTTCACTAGTGTGGACCAAATCTGTAAGTTGCTGGCATTAAACAAACGCTACCATTTTGTTTCTATCCACCACATCTTGAGTAGATACCCAAAGAAGTTTATATGTTTTAATAGACCACTCTACAGATGCATAACAGTGGTGGGTGTGGAGTTTTTTTCGTTGTAAGACACACCTTTTTATCTGTCACACACTTGCCAGAAATCTATGAGGGTACACTACTTGTAGTGGTCAGACATGCCCTTGGTTGCTTACTGTGTCACGTTGGGCTTGCGCAACACAAGCACAAAATGCTCAAATGAATCGGAATAGTGTTTTTGGTGTAAAAGTGGGTGCTCCTACGCTTTACATTATCCACCACATCTTAGTCGATAGTAAAGGAATTTTCTCTGTTTTGATAGACCACTATGCACCGATGCATTGACATGGAGGTGGAAGTGGGTGCTCTGATGCTAGACTGTGTAAAAGTGGGTGCTTCTACGCTATGCATTATCCCCCACTATGTGGCTATGCATTGCATCATAAGAAAATAAGCCAAATAGCTATCACCAGTGGGATAGATTGCACTATGATCAACTGGCACGCTTTTTTCACATTCAATCAAGATACCTTCACCACTGATTGATTCATTATGTAATTTCACTAGTGTGGACCAAATCTGTAAGTTGCTGGCATTGAACAAAGGCTACCATTTTGTTTCTATCCACCACATCTTGAGTAGATAGCTACCCAGAGAAGTTTATAATTATGTTTAGATAAATACAGTAAACTTACCAAGAAACTGTGACTAAAGGTATGGTTTGAATTCGGAAGAGGTCGTCTTACGCAGGAAGCGCTGGCTAGCCCGAAAATTCCGGGACATTTTGCTATTTTGCCTCGCCCGGGACACTGCCGGGGGAAACCCCATTTTTCCGGGACTGTCCCGGCCATTGCGGGACGGTTCGCAACTATGCTGACAGCGATTGAACAGCACAAGCTCCTATAATCATCAACAACTCGTTCTCTTTTTAGTGCGCGCCGTTCTCTCTTCGTATCTGCTGAGCCTACGTTTTTGGGGACTTTTCACGTGGTCAAGTAGGAACATAATCAGGAGATGCTGGATCGTTGCTCTTAGGGCCCGATATGAAGTGTTCACCGCATATCCAAGAATAGCTACTCATTCGGCGCCCAATCCTTACGACCCACTGCAGCAATGCGTCGGTTCGAAAGCGGTAGAAGGGAATACGGAGTACCTATCCGTACAGCCCACGGCACAACAGCTCCTGCCCATCTCCTTCCTTTGCTGTTTTCAAAATGGCGACCGGATGTTTTCGTCATTGTTTATACATCATCGCTAACTGCATGCGAACTTAGTTAGTGAACGGAAAATGCTTCCTCTCGTCGCCTTCGTTGTATTTCTACACCTGGAAGGAGTCCAAGTGAGCGGTAGGTTCATAATTATATGTTTTATATAATAGCTAAAGCTTTAAACCATAGCTTACAAAGGAGGCGCTCCTGAATATTTCTTGGCGTTTAGCAAGAATTATCATGTGGACAACAGTAACATCCTGACGCTCACTATCACCACTTCTGAAAGTGCTCCCGTGAGCTACGAAGTGTCGTCTCCTTACGGATCATACTACGTAACTGGCACCGTTTCCCAGTCATCTCACGTCTCAATCAACTTGGACCCATCCCTGACGGTTACTGGCTCAGATGTGACTCAGAGAAGCAAAGGGATACGTGTGAGAGCCGCTGACTCAAGCAAAACGATTAGTGTTAGTGGAATGACCTATGAGCAGCATACAGCGGATGCTTTCTTGGCTCTACCGTCTGGCCCAGTTGCAGAAGAGTACACCTATATAGCAAGCTCCATGCTGTGGACAAATAGGAGTGAGAGTGCCCTTCCCTCACTGATCCTCATAGTGGGGACACTGGACAATACTTTGTTAACAATAACCCCCACACAATTTGTTATTATACCTGATGATTTAAGAGCCCCAGGCAACCCTCAGAATTTTGTCTCCCCGGGGGAATCATACACTGTGACTCTGAACTGGCTGAACACCTACCAGATCGAGAGTTACCTTGATCTCACTGGGTCCAGGATTGTGTCAAACAAGCCACTGTCGGTGTTTGCTGGTCACCAATGTGCTGATGTCCCTGCAAGAGTTGCGGCATGCGATCACCTATATGAACAAATCCCACCAACCAGTACGTGGGGAAGATTCTTCTTCCTTGTACCGTCTAACTCTGTCTCTCGAACATCTCCAGAATGGTATAGAGTTGTCTCCTCAAAACTATCCACAACAGTCTTTATTACATGCTATATTCTGGGAGACTCCCAGCATTCTTTTGTCTATCAGAACTACATTGCACAAGTGGGTGGATTCAAGCAATTTCACATGGAGCGGGACAACTACTGTTATATGATTAGTGACAAACCAATCCTAGTTATGCAGTATGCACACGGTGCATCAGCTAATAATGGCATAGGTGACCCCTTTATGATGATGACATTACCTACTGAGCAGTACGTTGCTAACACTATAATCAACTTCTACGCCTATGAAAACTTTACCAGCGACATAACTATTGTGGCACTACAGCAGGATGCCCCTCCCGGTGAAGTTTTATTACTGGACGGCGTATCCTACACTTCAGATTGGATTCAACTTTATTGCTCTGAAGAAGAGTTGTGTGGCTATACACTCCATAAGCAAGTCTCCACTGGGTTTCATACTGTCAGAAGTGTTAATAACCAAATTCCGATAGCTGTCTATGTGTATGGTTTTGAATTCTCCCAGGGCTATGGCTACCCAGCTGCAATGGAACTAAAAGGTTAGCTTAAACAGTGTTATAACTCCTTAGGAGGATAATATAGATCATTATCATGCTTATAGATCTGGGGGTGGAGGAGTGTGTTGATGGAGGGATAAGGTTGGTGGGAGGAGAGAGTGAAACAGAAGGTAGGGCTGAGGTGTGCCAGGGAGGAGTCTGGGGAACCATCTGTAATGATAACTGGAGCACGGAGGACACAGAAGTTGTGTGTGGACAACTGCTTCTCCTGTCCTCTGGTATGACACTCAAAACTGACGGTAGTGTAGATAGCTTATCTACCTTCAACCGCAACGTAGGCATAATTAACATCATATATAGGTCTAACCAGCTAGGTGTCATTGTTGAAGTGAATAGAAAAAGTGTGTTGTGGCCTCCTACGTGATATAATTAAATCTCACAATGTGTACTAAAATTTTTAAAAAGTTAGCTACCACACAACATCCCTCTCGGTGATTAATATGGAAGCTTATGGCAGAACAGAAAACTAGCTAGCTCCAACAACTGCTTAGATTCTATAGGAACACTTTACCATAAGATAGTGTCTGCATCTGCTTCAAGTTGTTTAACAGAGCAGTTTGCAGATTGCCATGAAAACACATACAAACTAGCTACATATAATTATAGTAATTGTCAAGCCTGGCTTCATTATTTTGTGCAGGCATAACAAGCAGTTTCTATGGAGAAGGAGAGGGCCCAATTCATATGGACAATGTACAATGTCTAGGGGTCGAGTCCAGTATATTGGAGTGTGTCTATGACATCCATACTGCTGACTGTTCTCATAGCCAGGACGTTGGAGTTTTATGTTACTCTTGTGAGCGGTTTTGTAATTTACACCGTATCCTTGTAAATTTATAATTATGCAGATCCTGCGCCAGAGGTAGAGTTGCAGCAAAGTCCATCAAACAGCCAATACTTTGCAAGCTATGACCTAACTCTTACCTGCATTATATCAGTTAGCTCAAATGTTATTGGTCGGGTAAGGCTCACAGCTGGCTGGTCTAAAGATGGCATACAGTACATCAGCAACAGTTGGGACTCACGGACTTCTGCCACTCCTGTCACACAAATCAGCAATTATGTCTATACTACAAATCTGAAATTCCTCCCACTGGAGGAACGGGACTCAGGGACCTACCAATGCACAGCTGTCCTCACTAGCTTTACTGGAGTTCCTTTAGTCAATGGCACAAATGATACTTCTTTAATGGTTAAAGGTGAGACACAATGCTTATTAGTAATTTAAAATTGACATTATCAATAGAACTTCAATCGGAGCGCATTCAACTGCAGTTATTTGGAGCAGAAAACTGTGTTCAGTGGATACAGGTACATGAATCACTAAGTACGGTAGTCCTTAGTATAAAGGGATGACACAGGTTATCCTTAATTATGCATTTGAGATTTGTACGTTTCATAATATTATACTTTCAATTGCATTCAGATCCCACTTCTGACATTTCAGTCCGAACCCTATAGTCCAAACACATGTACCCAAAACCTCTTTTGGTTCCAAAAACTTTAACCTCAATGTACCCACAGAGTAAAGGTGCAGACGTTAAGCAGGCACTTGCAGGCTCAGTCGGTGATGGAGTGGAGGATCTGTGCAACTGTGAATTTTCTGCCAGAAACCTCAAAGGGATAGTCCTGCAGTGTTACTCGGACTACCCAGCCAAGATTTTTGTTCTGCTAACGATACAAGTAACTGCCACTAAGAGTCTTCCTGACATATTGAACTTTATTACTGACTGGATCGCTAGAGATCCGCACATTGTTCTTGGTGAAAGTAACACCACGGTGTATATCGACAAACTCTGCGATATAACAATTCTAGGATCAGAGTGTGTTCCCACCTCCTCTTCCTCATCTTCTGCGGAAATTCCCCTCCAACAATCCTACTACTGCTGCTTCAAAGTCACAAACAGAAGGCCTGAAAGCAGGAATCGGTGTACTAGCAGTTTTCACTGTGGTAATTCCAGTAATGCTGATGGTTGTGGTGTTGGTGGTGTTTACCAAGTGAGTTTGGTTAATGATATGCTTTAAAGACCTTTTCAGTACCTTCTGACACTACCACTTGGTATTGTTACGTGTGCTGCTGTATAATAGCTGCTTTCCTTTCTCTCAATAGATGTCGCAACAGAGGTGCTCAAAATCCTCAGCCAATCATGTAAGTGTTGCATTAGATGAGACAGTTTTAAAAGAAGATAATGAATGCCTTTTAGTCCATTCGTGTTCTCAGGCTGTGTTAGCTTGATTATCCATGTGTAAAAATATGTTGATATATACCCATGGCGTCCAAGGGGTTTTAAAGACCTTTTCCGTTCCTTCTGACACTACCACTTGGTATTGTTACGTGTGCTGCTGTATAATAGTTGCTTTCCTTTCTCTCAATAGATGTCGCAACAGAGGTGCTCAAAATCCTGAGGCAATTGACATGAATATCATGTAAGTGTTGCATTAGATGAGACAGCTTTAAAAGAACATCATGAATGTTTTTTTAGTCCGTTCCTGTTCTCAGTCTGTGTTAGCTCTATGATTGATGATTATCCATGTGTAAAAATATGTCTGCTGCTAAGCATAGCCTATAGGAATGTGTGAGTCAATCAAACATTAACGTGTTTGTGTGCAGGTATCGCGACTTTGATGACAATCGGAATGGCGGCCATTTTTAAGAAGTGGGACAGGACTTGTGGAGTAACTAACACTTAGTTTGTGTGAGAGTAGCTATATGTAGAGTGCTCTTCGTAGACAGTCATGAGGCAACCTTCTGCATGTGTATAATAATTATGTATGTGTGTTCCCCCTTTTTGTAATTAGAGTATCACTAGACTTTATCTTATGTCACAAAAATTGTTGTTGGAGAGTGAAGCAACCCCACGTAGTGTAGTGTGGGAAGTTTTCTATCTATTGGTTGGGCGCTGTCACTATTGTCATGTACTACGTGATTCTATGTAGCCACAAAACATGCGTGAATAATGATGAATTGCTCGCGCTCGCTTGCCAACAATGCGTTGCATTACTCTAGTATATTAGCGCTGGTCATGTGGACTTAAGCCAATCGGCAAGCACTGTGCTCTAATCCAAACAAAAGACTGCAGTGACTAGTTAATGCACACTAAGTGGATTGAATCACAGAAGAGGAGTAGGGATGCTCTGCTAAGGGCTTTAAATGACTTATATGAAGACTTAGCATTGCGGGTATTCTCATGTGTGAGTTCTATTGTAGTACAGCTAAAACCACTGATGAAGAATGATGTGTTTGAAGATGACTCTGCTAGAATGAGCAGAATGAAGAATGGCACTTAATGAAGAAAGTGGTTAATGAACAGATTTGAGCACGCTGACACCCCAACCCCATCACACAATCGCTATATTGTTGCCTAGGTGAAGTATTAAACATTCACCATTACAATACTCAGATCTTATGATAAAATGAAGAGCACTAAAGTGCAAAACCCTCGGCGGCATGGAACCAAACATGCGGGTTGGGCTGTTATTATTATTATTATTATTATTATTGTTGTTGTCATACACACCAGTAAAGGTGCACACTTAAAATGAAAACAGAGGGAGGGGTAGAGAGATAGAAGAAACACAGAGAGTGGACCAGTGGCCGACTGGACTCTGTCCCGTCGCCATCTGTGGGCTTAAGGGCTCCTGGACCGGCCACTGGTCCCCTCATCATACGTCTTGCAAAAGTGACTACATAAAAGAAACTTTACTGACATGAAATTCTTGATATAAGGGACTCAAAGTCTGAAAATAAACCAAAAGTACTTCGAACAAATCTGATTACTTATGCAATACTAATATCAGTATCATGAGTGAACACAAACTGCCCGTCTAGCATGTACTGTTGTGTCACACTGCGGACATACCTTCTTCAGGCGTCTATCGCTCTCCATCGGTCAGGCCCCTCTGCATACAACGCGCGAAATGTACGAGTGCTGATTGCCAGCTCAAAAGAGTATTTGCACCAGAAACGACAAGAAGTATGCTCGAGCGCTGCCCTCACAAAAACGTAACCCTGGCCGCTCAACGGTGCTATTTATGGCGAAAAACACGTAATCATTGTGCGCAACCCGCCAGTGTAACACACGCATGCGTTTATTTCTCGCTTCCTAGAGGTAAGCGAATACTAATTAGCATATTGGCTTGTTAACTTGGTTTTCACGCCATAACTGTCAAACGCATTGCTTTTACGAAAATCGCCAAATAAAATCAAGCCAGTATAACGCTGAACCTTTTGGTATCGCTCTTTCGTTGTCTCGTTGCGCGTGGTTGCAGAAAACGTGGTAACAGACAGACAGACAGACAAACTTACCGACCAAGTACAGTAACCCTCGCAGCGCATGCGCGTCGAGGGTGAAAAAAGTCATGCTACTGAGTAACCAACACTCTTGGGTACACGCGTCCACCTACCTCTACATTAACACTTTCGTCAGTGCATGAAAGAGACAAGCACAGCTATGCACTCCAACACCTAGAGGTCTTATCAGCGACCTTTAGGATTTTGATATTGGGTGGTGCTAGGAGCCGAGGCACATGCTCGCACTGGCCACACCCTTGAGCAGCATTGACATAGTGCGCATGTGCAGCATTATTGTCATTTCTACTGTCTGCATTTCACATGCAGAATGAGCAACAGAATAGCAGTAGAGTGAGCACTAGAATGGTAAGTAGAACGGCAGAACAATTGGCAGTAGAATGGCAGTAAAATGAGCGAATAGACCTGATGAATTAATTAACAGATAAAAATTCCTACCATGGCCAATTACTTGCCCTGATCACATTGGGAGAAACCCAATGGAGGTAATAGGGAGGGTGGGTGGGAAAACTGCTGCTCTTGAGACTCTTTCACCTCAACATGAGGTCGCGGACTGCACATGTGTCCGAAATAACCCTCAGGGAGGCGTGGTGCCACTGAGACTCATTGGTAACTGCGTAATTCTAACGTATTGAACTCCATTTACTACCTACATAATATGATGACTGTGGTTGTTTGATGTTTGTTGGCCTCCCTGCAGATGGTCTCCTAGCTTAGTCTGGGTGTCCTGGGAGGAGCTCTACTGGTGGGAGGAGTAGTGGCTGCTGGAGCTGTGGCCCTTGTTGGCATGGGCATTGCTAAACATAAATGAAAAGCACTAAAGTGCAAACCCTCGGCGAACTGTGCATGCGCTGTACCTCTAATTGATAGGCTGGGCCTATTAGTCTGCGTTTACCCGTGATCTCCCGCTAGTAGCTCGCGGAGAGTCTGACACGGGCTAGCTACAGTAGTAGATAGCATGCGGGAGTCGATATACGCCCTTCGTTGTGACTTCTTGCGCCTCCGAGGTACACAGATAAAGCGGAGCAGGTCGAGGTAAGCTAGTGCTAATTAGCATATTGGCTTGTTCACTTGGTTTTCACGCCATAACTTCTGAACGCGGCACTTTTACGAAAATCGCCATTTTTAAATCAAGCCAGTGTAGCGCTGAACCCGTTGGTGTCGCTATTTTACCTGTTTGTTGCGCGTGGTGGCAGAAAACGTGGTAACAGACGGACAGACGGACAAACCAAGTACTGAACCCTCCCTGCGCATGCGCGCCGAGGGTTAAAAATGAGACCGTCTGTTTCATTTCGATTTTCCATGTTGTATTCTTGTTTGTATCAACATTGTGAGTGTCATTGCATTTTAACCCTTACGTACATGGGCCCAATCCACTATGTCAGCATTCTGAATTCGGGTTTTGGCTCGGTACTGGCAACGCCTTGTGGGGATGAATTCAGAACCACAAGCGCTGCGCCTGTGCAAAACCTTGTGGGGATGAATCTCATTAGTTCAAAACCACAAGTGCTGCGCTCAACTTTGCCTTTAAAAACTTGTGATGCCAAAGAGAGAAGTTGTGGTATGCTTTGCTGATGAGGGCCAACAAGCCCGAAACAGCTGTCCAGAGCTCGGCATCTTTTTTCTCTTGGCATCACATGGTCTATTGTTACATGTGTGTCCTCATTTTGGTTGTACATAATTATGTAGCTACTTGGTCGGCATGCATTATACTGTGAACAGTATGGAAAGTAACATAGAGCAGCAGGCAGGCTAACTTTTCAAATTTGTGGTTAAAGCAAAGCAGTGCCCTGCTCTAACCTTTTATGTGCCACTGGGTTAAAAGTTGCATTGCCTGAACCTGTTTTAACCAAGGGTCAGGCATATTGCCATTAAAAATGGGTGAGTGTTTACAGCATTTTGAAAAGAGTGGGGTTCCTTGTTTTTGATGATATTCTATTGCACTACCGGTATTAGCTATTGGACCGATGCCAAGTGCAGTATATATATCGATTCTCGAGACTGCAAACTGAGTTCAATAATAACCATAGTATACGAGCGTGAACGGTGCTTCAACTGGTCGAGCTCCCGCGCGTTCACGGGCTAGCAAAGACTCGACTACCACCCGTGAAGTAGCTCCCAGTAAGTATGGTAGCTCCTGGGACAGTTGGCCAGCCTCCGCACAACTGTTGAAAAAATTACACTGTTCAAAATTTCCCAAATTCATAGCATGGCGTTTATTGCATATTTATTACAAGTACAGCTAACAATCTTTTCACAGCATACTAAACACTTCACACACACTTAGTCTAGACATGTTTCACTTATTTCGTTTGTGGTGTTTATCTACGAACAGTGCCATAAGCAGCATTAGGAGCCACTGCAATCTCCTTATCTTGTTCAGTGATAGGCCTCAGCTCCACATGTTCATACATGCTGTCTACACCATCAGTGACTGAGGGAGGTGGAGGTGGTAGTTGGGTGTTCTCATACAGTGGAGCAGTTGTCACAGCAGCTGGTGGTCCTGGGTCTATGGTACATTCTGAATCTGTGCAAACTGTTAGCAACTTTTAGCATGATTAATTTGTATAAAAAAAGACACAAATACAGCTGTCAGCATCTGTGATAGGCACTGAGAAAACGACCCTTATTGCTCGCATATGCAGTTACACTCTGCCTTCAGTGTAGCTTACTGCTGTTCTTTCTCCTTGTGGTTGATCGTTTTTAAGGAAATGTTTTAGCAAAATTAAAAAAGACACAAATACAGCTGTCAGCATCTGTGATAGTGTCTGAGAAAACAACCCTTATTGCTCACGTATGCAGTTTCACTCTGCTTCAGGGTGGCTTACCGTTGTTGTTTCTCCTTGTGGTTGATCTTCTCTTAAGGAAAAGGATAGAGGCAAGTAGAACGGCTATAATCAAACCCAGCAGTGTTAGACAAAGGACAGCAGAAAGTCCAGTTACTGTTGGAGTCCCTAAAAAGCACATTTCAACGTATAATGCTGGTTTGGTAGTAGTAGAGCCTACCATTTTCTTGCTTGGCAGTATTGTCAGTTGCAGAGGCTAATGCTATGGTGATATCAGGTAGCTCCAGTGTATTGGAGCCATCTGATCCATCCATTAGTATCTCTGATACCAGTACATGGTATGACCCTGATTGTTGCACCTTGAAACATTCCTGTAATGCTATGTCATAAGTTGAGTGACGAGGTATTGTGAAGTTGAATGTAATCCGATCTCTGAGAAGAGTTATTGCACATCCTTTAGCAGTAGAGCCGTTTGTGAAAACACAAAAGGCACATATCCCTCCACTCACTGGTTTCACATTGGAATACATCAGTGAGGGACCTGCAAGGACAAGCGTAATTCTAGTTGTGTTATATACTACAGTCATACTGGCCTACTTTCCGTAATCAAAACTGTAATGTTGTTCACTAGAATGCCAATGTGATTCTGCACAACACCATTGTGAATCTCATGGACACTGACACTGTACTCCCCTCCTTCTGGTACTGAAAAACATTGCAGTAGTGAGAGGTTGTTGTTGCTTCGGGTGGCATTGAAAACAAAAACATGTTTGTCATTTTCCATTTTGAGGGTGCAACCATCAGCAGTAGAATCAGAGAAGAAACAACAGGAAAGACATATTCCTAGTTTTTTCAGCTCATTAATAACTTTGACAGCTGCTTCAATGATTGTCAAGAACGCTGGAAGAATGAATTATTTGTGTTGCAATGTCAAGCATGTGTTAAATTGTGTTACCTTTTCTGGTAGCATTTCCCTCTCCCACTTCATTCCATGCACTGATCTGGTAGGTGGTGCTGGCACATGGTCTCTCCAGAGAGATGTGTGTTTCAGTGGTGTTTCTCTGTTCTGAGACTCCCTGACTGGTGATATAGACACTGTATTGGAGTATGGGGACTCCTTCCAGGGTGAATGGAGGACTCCATGACACATTAATGCTATCAACTCCAACTGCTTCAACACTTACATCAGTGGGAGCTTTTAGGAGACCTATAAGGTGTATATAGGTTTAGCTGCAGATGAAAAGGTAGCTATAACACAATTCACCTTGTATTCTGAGGGTTGTGGTATAGGTAGTGTTGGAAGTGTTAAAACACTCGGGAAGACGCACAATTCCTGTGATTTTAGCTCCATTGTACCTCAGATCAGTTGGAGTTATTGTCAGTCGGAGATCACACTCAAAAAAATACCCTCCAAATGATAGTCCTCTCTCTGTAATACTCTCATGTCTTCCGCGGCGATAGTGACTATAGTTGGCTACAGTGTACACTTCATACTCGCCATTAGGTTTGGCAATCTCCCAAAGAATCTCAGCTTCTTGACAGTCATAAAAATCTATAGAATAATATACTTCCATATAGAGACTAGTTGAACCATTGAGTGAGATGTTGATTGAGGAACCAAAATTCCCTGTATATATCCATGGTGGCATTAATACCTCTTAGAAGTCAAAAAATCTCTACACTTACACGAGAAGTAACGAAAGTAATCACAGTTGCAATCACACAGCCCACCATCAAACAAAATAACAGCTAAAATCCAAAAGGGAGCGGTTTTCGCTAACATCTTCACTTGTTCAGTTGCGACAGCAACTCAGCAGCAGGAACGCGCACTTCAGCAACTGACGTGGCAATGCCGTGCGCATGCGCATGTTTTGCCCCGCTGATACTCCATGATCATCAGAGCGACTGTTATGTCACTTGTAGAAAACCTGGGAGCCATCCAGGCTGTTACGTTCAGTTAACCGTCTAATTATGACCATCTTCGTAAAACTCCATCCACTGAAAATTTGAGTGCTGTCGTCTTCTTCTCTGGGCGGTTTGGGCCAACTTCGAAAACAGTGCGGGCCGAGACCGACACAATCGACATCCGAAATAGTGCTGTAGGGTCGGCCTTCTTAAATTATTGAGGGATGCCTGTTTGGCTAGCGACCGCGAGCAGGTCATTACACGCGGTGCGAGCAAATTATTTCCTTCGCGATGACGCGGGTGAAATCTCACGTCATCCGCGTACAAAACGACTAAAAACTCGGTGAGAATCACTCCCTAGGCCTTCAAAACACACTAGCAATAGTCTACGGCCCATATCTACCTATACATGCTCCCAAAGACCTCTTACGCATCTTTAGTTCTCCACGCTCATAGCCGATTTCGTGTCATCACATTCTTCATCTTCTTCTTTAGACCCACTTTCTCCTTACTGGAACAAGTTGAAGCGCTGATTTTTTCACTGAACTTCTCCAATTTCGCCGGACATCAAGCGATCGTTTCTTTCTTGTCGCTAGTCACTACGGTAGATCATTGTGGTGTCGTGCTTTTATGTAGCTACACGGTTTAGTCTTCATTGGACTGTAAATGGTTTATAATAGAAAAGAGCAACAGTCTATATTTGTGCTTGTTTGTGATGTGCCACTAGGTTAGTGTGAAACAGTAAACTTTCCTATCTGCAACTGTTTCAGTGTTGAATATTGTGTACTGTCTAAACCCCTTTCTAACTAACAATTGGTAACGCATTATTCCACACAATACGTAGATAACTGTTTACAGCAGTGGGTTTTGTGAACAGTAAACATACATTTTGTATAATTTTTTCAGCATACTAAGCACTACACACACTCTGTCTAGGCATGTTTCACTTGTTGCAAAGCTAGAGCGCGAAAAAGCCAATATGCAAATACACAACGGACGGGACGGCTTACCGCGGTCTGATCAATCCGCGTGCTCTGCGTACATCGGAGGCACCAGAAAATGCAACGCAGGGCGTGTATCGCCTCTCGCATGCTATCTAGTAGTGTAGTTAGCCTGCGTCAGACTCTGCGCGAGTTGGCAAGAGACCACGAGTAACAGCTAAAACTAAACCCAGCCCAACAATTAGTGGTACGATGCATGCGTTTACTTACACGTGCGCGTCACAATGCTCCGATGCTTTTCATTACTCTAGGGTCCTGGGTGGCGTATTTTACTCTAGTGATACTCACAAGTGCAAAAATGGTGTATTGTGCACTGTCGAAACCTACCAATTGGCCAGGTGTTATTCCACACAATACATATAGATAAGTGTTTACGGCTTGCCAGTTGGTTGGGCTGGGCCAAATTGTATCTGGCCTTTGTCACTCTCTTTACTTTGGTGTAGCTGTGATACTTCCTGAAGTACCTTAGCCTGGCACTGTGATGGGAGGCATGATACTCCTGAAAAAATGCCAGCCTAGCACTGCGGTGTGCGGTATGGTACTTGCGAAACAATGCCAGTCTGGCACTGCGGTGTGATGCATGGTACTCTCGGAACAATGCCAGTCTTTCACTCTGGTGTGAAGTATGATACTCGCATGCGTTGCCACCGACGACCGGCCGCGGGAAACGACGACTCAGAGATTCTATGGACAACGTCCACATTCTCACTGGACGGTCTGGACCTGTGGTAGCTACAAGAAGCACTGGACTGTTGAATACTCCTGGGTATAAAGGGAACATTGGCTATCTACATAAGATTGTGACGCACATGGTGTCTCCAGAGAGATGTGTGTTTCAGTGGTGTTTCTCTGTTCTGAGACTCCCTGACTGGTGATATAGACACTGTAGTGGAGTATGGGGACTCCTTCCAGGGTGAATGGAGGACTCCATGGTACATTAATGCTATTAACTCTGTCTGCTTCAACACTTATGCCAATGGGAGCTTTTAGGAGACCTGTAAGGTGTATAATACATTTAGCTACAGATGAAAAGGTAGCTACAACACAATTCACCTTGTATTCTGAGGGTTGTGGTATTGGTAGTGTTAGAAGTGTTAAAACACTCAGGTATACGCACAATTCCTGTGATTTTGGCTCCATTGTACCTCAGATATTGTCAGTCGGAGATTACACTCATAATAACACAACCCTCCAAACGATAGTCCTCTCTCTGTAATACTCTCACGCCTTCCATGGGGATAGTCACTATAGTTGGCTACAGTGTACACTTCATATTCGCCATTAGGTCTGACAATCTCCCAAAGAATCTCTGTTTCTTGACAGTCATAAAAATCTATATAATATCTACCCATAAAGAGAGTTGTTGAACCATTGAGTGAGATGTGTATTGAGGAGCCAAAATTCCCTGTATCAAAAGTGCCATTTATAACCTCTTAGAAGTCAAAAAGGCTCTACACTTACATGAGAAGGAACGAAAGTAATCACAGTAGTAAAAACACAGCCCACCATCAAACAAAATAGCAGCTACAACCAATAAGGGAGCGGTTTTTGCTAACATCTTCACTTGCTCAAATGCGGGAGCAACTCAGATCAGCAGCTGCAACGCGCACCGACGTGGCTGGCAACGCCGTGCGCTGAAGCATTGGCACGCATGCGCAGCAGGACTTGTCCGTTCTGCGATCTGATTGGAATTTGAGATCTAGGACCAGAGCAGACCCCTTTTCCACGTGATGAGTGGGAGGGGTCTGGGGACGAGACCAGAGGTAGGGATAGAGGGGTGGGGGTGGAGGGGGTTAGGACTTGCTCCAGAACATGCTCCATACTGAATCGAATAGTAGGGTATAAAACTGGATCTATACTTTGGCTGATAAACAAACACCGAGACATACAATATTGTATACAGAGCTATCTTGCGCTATATGTCTCTTTGTTACACAAGATGAAGTAGGTCTAGTATCTTGTCAACAAGCATGTAGCACAGGAGAGTGCAAGGTTGTTGTTGCTTCGGGTCGAATTGAAACCAAAAACATGTTTATCATTTTCCATTTGACGTGCAACCATCAGCAGTAGAATCAGAGAAGAAAGAACAGGAAAGACATATTCCTGGATTAGCAGCTCATTGATGACTTTGACAGCTGCTTCAATGATGGTCAAGAATGCTGGAAAAATGAAAAGCACTAAAGTGCAAACGCTCGGTGAACTGCGCATGCGCGATACTGCAAATTGATGGGCCGGGCCGGCTATTTGTGTATGCGTTTACTCGTGTTCTTCCGCTAGTAGCCCGCGTAGAGTCAGATACGGGCTAGCTACAGTAGTAAATAGCATGCGGGAGTCGATACATACCATTCGTTGTGATATCCTGAGCCCCCAAGGTACACAGAGCGAGCGGATCATGGCTTTTTGGCTTGTTTTCACGGCATATCTCTCGAACGAAGTCGTTTCAGGAAAATCGCCTAATAATTTTTCAGGCTTCCGTTGTTCTGAATCCGCTGGTATCGCTCATGGGCCGCCTCGTAGACTGTAGTGCCAGAATAAGCGTCGACACACAGACAGACAGACAGACAAACCAACTACCGTAACCCTCGCTGCGCATGCGCGCCGAGGGTTAATAATATGAAAAGCACTAAGTGCAAACCATCGGCGAACTGCGCATGTGCGGTACCACTAATTGATGTGCTGGGCTTTTTATGCCTTTACTCGTGGTATCCCGTTAGTAGCTCGCGGAGAGTCTGGCACGGGCTAGCTACAGTAGTAAATAGTATGCGGGAGTCGATACATGCCCTTCGTTGTGACTTGTGTTGTGCCTTCAAGACACACAGAGCGAACGGACGCGGGGTAAGCCTGTGCTAATTTACATATTGGCTTGTTCACTTGGTTTTCACGCCATAACTTTAAAATACAGTAGTTTTACGAAAATCGCCTTTTTTATAATCAACCCAGTGTAGCACTGAACCCGATCATATCGCTATTTACCTGATTTCGTGCGCGCGGTGGCAGAAAACGTGGTAACAGACAGACTGACAGACAGACACACTTACGGGACAACTACGTAACCCTCGCTGCGCATGCGCGCCGAGGGTTAATGAAATTTTGTGTTGCAATGTCAACCATGTGTTTAATGGTCTTATATACCTTTTCTGGTAGCATTTCCCTCTCCCGCTGATGGTGCTGGCACATGGTCTCTCCAGACTGATGTGTGTTTCAGTGGTGTTTCTCTGTTCTGAGACTCCCTGACTGGTGATATAGACACTGTAGTGGAGTATAGGGACTCCTTCCAGGGAGAATGGAGGACTCCATGACACTATCACACTTTCACCACTTGCTTCAATCTTCACATCTGTATATAGGAGCTTCAAGTATGCCTGTGGAGTCTTCATGAAAGATAATAATTATTGTTTAGCACGTCTTTACCTTGGATATGAATTGTTGTGGGAGCTGTGTCATTGGAAGTGTTGTAACACTCTGGGAGGCTGAAACTGCATGTGACTTGAGCTCCATTGTATCTCATATCAACATGACTGAGTACCATTCGCATCCGACAGTGTGTATAAGAACACCGAAAATCATAATGTGATCCAATTAGTGGCTATTCTTGATTATCCTGAGAATAGTAATAATCTCCCGCAGGATGTAGCTAAACTGTAAATTTCAACTTTCCTGTCAGCTCAATTTATCTCCTATTCTCTTCACAGTGATGTATAGAGTATGCCCAGACCTCTAAGTATAGAGTACTGACGAGAGATGCGTTAGTTGATGAACCGAAATCCCCTGTTATCAATGCGACATAAAAGTATATAGTCCTGCATATCAAACTTACAGTAATATTCTGTAAAATCCTCACAGAAGCAACCCAGTACAGCATTATGGGACTGAAAGATTGAGTACAGAAGCAGTAAAAGCACTCTTCGATCCATAGCCGACATTGCAAGCCGTCCGCGGAGCAAGTGAACTCTGCCTATTTCACCCGCGTTGCGCATGCGCGTTGTAAGTCCGTCTGTTATGTCGAACAGGGGCGTGGCAGTTGCGAACCTTTTTGCGGGACCAACGCGATCTAGATTAGCCTCTAAACC